TTTGAGCCAGTAATAAGGTCATATTTCTCCTTTTTGTTTTGTATATTAATTAAGTAATTAACTTATCACTAGGCTGCTCAGAAACCCATGCTTTATAGCATGTGGACACAAAGTGTGTACTTTGGTTAATTTGCAAGAATACTTTACTGATAGTGTATTTTCTTCTACATCTGGTCAGTCTTTCTTCTCTGATTTGCTTGCTTTCCAGTCTCCAAGTTATCTTTAGTTTCTGGCTCTCATTTCTGGAAGCTCTGAAGCATGTTCATAATGTAAACCACATGAGTGTTCCTATCGAATTCTCATTATGCTGCTTCCTGAGTCAGGACCTCTGTGATAGCTTGTACATGTGTACAGTATTGCTGGGCAGAGAGATATACTCGCAGTTACCATCTTTCAGCACTTAATCCATGGGACTGCGAACAGTTGCAAGCAGTGAGAACAGGATGCATCTTGTTGGAGAAAAGTTTGCCAATGTACCCCTCTCATCTGCCACGTTACGGCAGCTTTATAAGAGAAATTCACCCAGAGGTGAAAAGTGTCTTTACAAAGGATTTTGTATTACTACTTCTTACTTCAAATGTCCAGTGAGACTATAGCTGGATTTTTTTAAAGTATTGGCTATGCTATAGCTCCTTTCCAGAAACAAACCCTCCCCAGGGCAAATAAGAGGATTTTCTTCTAAAAAAACCACTACCACCAGTTCTTAATTTAAGAAGAAAAAAAAAAAAGATTAAAAAAAGAGAGATCCTTCTAGATGAAATGGAACATATTAACAAAATATTTTAAAAAGTTGATAATATTATATACATTTTTTTCTTTCCTAGGGCCTTCCTGGCAAAGATGGACCCACAGGCCCACAAGGACCTCCTGGCCCAGTGGTGAGTATTGCCCATGGAATTTGTTACTGTACAAGTAAGCAGGACTTTGGGGGATTATGGGTCACTCTGTTATCTGGGCATCAGTGGATAGGCCAAGCCAAGGGGTTCTCCTTGGAAGCTGAAATTCTCATGACTCACCAGGGCTGGCAGAGAGCTGCCTTGTCCAGTGTCATTGCTTTCCGTTCTCACTCAGCTCAAGAAAAAAATGGCTCCCATGGGAAGGAGAGAGAGTTGTTCCACCAAGAGATTGGTAGTTTGTTCTTGAGTTAAATAATGGCACTATATAAGGGAAATTAATGCTGTTAACATTTAGGGCAAGAATTTCTTTTTTGTAAGAAATTCCAGTTAGGGTTGTTAGTTGAAGTGAATTGCTCAGATTTGCTGTGGCTGGAGGTGTGTGCAGGTATTCAAATAATCTCATAGAGTAATCAAGAAAGACAGCTGAAGTTCTGCCTTCCAAGCAAGATATATGTTGCCTCCATAATCAGTCTCATTTGGAGATCTCTCTTTGCTGGGGTGGTTAGGCAAGGTTAATATCTTTTGACAGATTTAAATTAGGTAAAACTGCTGATGGTGTTGAGTATTCTCCATGCATAGAATCAGAGAATCATAGAATATCCAAAGTTGGAGGGGTTCAACAAGGATCATGGGAATCCAACTCCTGGCTCCACACAGGACTACCTACAAATCAACCCTATGTCTGAGAACATTGGCCAAATGTTCTTGAACTCTGCAAGCTTGCTGCCATGACCACTTCCCTGAGGAGCCTGTTCCAGTGCCTGACCACCCTCTCAAGTCAGTTTTTCTCGAGTACTTTTCTCAGGACTGTGCTCTTGGTGCTCTTTTTCCTGCAACACGTGCGTCTTAGTTCCTCTTTCCTACCATCTTTGGTCTTCAACTGGCAGAACTTTCTGTGTCTAGATGTACCTACCATGTTTGCTCCCTGGAATGCCTTTCTCACTCCATCCTCATGCTGTTTACTTAGCTCATACTCAACTGAGTCAAGGGAGAAGGTTTCTATATTATCCTCCTGTAATCTGAAGGGAAATTATCATCTGAAGGGAAATTATATGTCAACGCAACAATTGCTGGGGTTGCCCAGTCCATGGTAACCTGTTGGTCAGGAACAATTCAAATATACCGGGAAGATGTGGAGGAAACTAAGAGTTTGTACTGATTGAAATAAATAGATATTAAATATTAAATCCCATGGACAGTCTCCTGATTTTTGCTTTTCTTCTTCTGAATACTGAACTAATAAATTGAAGTAGTAATAAGCTCCCAAATTTAAAAATAACAGAAGCAAACAGTTCAGTAATTGTAAAAGACTCACTTATTTTTTGAGCTCTGAATGGAAACCATTGTTTTGTAGTAATTCACAGTACCTCACTGAATTTATTAAAATGTTTTATTTATTAAGAAGTATCAGAAATGAGAAAATTCTATTGCATAAGATTTTTCCCTATTCATCTAGAAACAGATGATAAGAACAGGTTACATGGTATGAGCAATTTGGCAGCCCATGAATCTGTGGTTGTATATATAATTAAACAAAAACACTGGCAATTTAGGACTCATTTGTGATTCTGTGACCACAGAAAGACCATTTGTAGCATTTCTCCTTTTGTGTGGAGAAGGTATAAAAGAACCTGATCAAGATCCAATTCAGCACTGTTGTGGAATCTCACACTCCCTGCGTTCCCTGCTTTTGTTGTCTTCATTTCCACTCTGTCTGAACAACAGGCTGGATTAGGTCACTGCTGCTTCTCGTCAGCAGCTACCTTGATTGCTATCAGGACAGGACTAAAAAAATTTCCATGTCCATGATTTTGGTAAAGAGCAGTCGATGAAGTTTTTTTCTGCTGCAGTTAAATTACATTCATTTCTGGCATTGCAAAAATTAAATTAATACTTAGTGCTTTTAAAAAATGTTTTACCTATTTAACGTACTTTCCAAATCTTTTCTGTTATTCTGTAATGACACGTGTTGCTAATCACATAGAATAAATAGAACTCTATGCCTAACGTTTGGTTCCTAATATTTGGCTCCTCTATAGAGCAGGAGGTAGAGGTCAGCAAGCAGATTTAATAATTTTTCTGAAATTCAGAAATGGAACTTTTAATCTTTTTTTTTTTTTTTTGGGGGGGGGGGAGGGGTGAGGATAATTTTTATTTATTTCAATTTCAGTAATGTTTAAAAAAAGAAAAATGGTCTGCTTCAGTTACCTCTTATTTGAATCATTGGCCATAGGATTTTGTAAAGGATCACACTTCGCTACAAAAGGTGTGACCTTCTTCTTTCAATATGTACCAGTGCTTAACATTGCAACTCTAAATGATCCCTAAATTCTACGTGAAAGAATATTGCTCTGTGGACATTCTCTCCATCACAGTATTTCTCTTAGTGGGCCTCATGAATGTTAATTGCCATCACCAATAAGTATTTTCTTTCTCTCTTCCTTGTAGGGCATACCTGGTGCTCCAGGTGTTCCAGGTGTTACAGGAAGCCAGGGGCCACAAGGTGATGTTGGAGCTCCTGTGAGTAAAATAAATTAATATGAATATATTCGCTCTTGTGCATTCATTGGTTTCTGATTCTGGCTTCACTGTTTTCAGAACTCCTCAGGATTTATAGCTTACAATCTTTTTGCAGCTAGTTAATCAGAATGTCATATTGGTCTTTCTTGGTTCATTTTTCATACCTAATTTATTTGTTGATCTTACATACAGTGTTTGGAATACAGGTATGAGAGAGTCAAAAGAAAAGGTTAAATCACGGAAGTAAAAACATAATGGTATATGAATTTGTAGTCACTGTGTCATTGCTTTCTCCTTTTATTCCTTTGCTTTACAAGTTAAAGTGTGCCTTTTGATTAACCTGAATATTTCCATAATAACTTTATTCTGACTTTCAAACTGTGAAAATATTGTATGAATAAAAAACTGTCTTTAGTGATTACTTTGTGTTTATGTCAGGGCAACTGAGTAATGATCAGGGCTTTTTCTGTAATAGTATTCTAAATTTCAGCTGCAAGAAATTTGACCAGCAATTCCATTCAGAATTACACCCTCTAAACCTAAAGTCTGTATTAAGAACCTCTAACACTAAGTTCTTCTTTCAAACATTATTTCATTTATTATCAAATAAAACAGTTTAACTAGAAGAAAAGAATCCAATTATAAAATGAGTGTATAAATTACATAAAAGACAGAGCTAGAAGATTTACAGTGGACCTCTAAAAGAGATTTTATTTTATTTTTTCAAAATCCGTTTTGCTTTGGAGACCTAGTCCAATGCAAGCATATTTATTTGGTTAAGTGGGAGTGAAATGACTAATAATGTGTAAGCAAAGGTAATAACCTCATGCCCAATTTTGCATAGTTTCTAAGTGCAATCATGAAATCTAGTAAGATTTGATGAGCTATGGAACTTATTAGTATCGATGTATAACATGTTGCCTGTTCAATCCATATCCAAACACATGTTGCAGATAATTCAACTAAATCTCCTAGAGCGTAGATATTCCTGTGAGCCATGTAAGACCTTTACTGCAAATGTTTAGTAGTTCTACAAAAACAGCTAGGTAGGTGAAAACTAATTGAATTTCAATCACTATCTTTCCCCAAAATAGAGCAATATAAAATAGGCCTAAAAATAATCTTGCAGTCTTCATAGGTCCCTATCTCCCTCCCAGGGTAGGATAAAAACTATGTTTTAAGTATGTATCAGTCAGCTGGTTAACTCTTCATGCAGACTTTTCCTTGCTTCGGGAGCTCCTGAGGGATATTTAGCCTACCCCCAAAGCCTCCGTTGGTGAGGTTGTAACTGCCCCATGTATCTTGTCCCGATGCATAATGATCCTTACCAGCATGACAGTATTATCTTGACTGTCATACTAAATTTTCTACAAGTGCTACAAACTCTTCTCTCCCATCAGCCTTTCATATTCAATGCTAATGTTAGACCCATTTGAGCCATGAAAGTATATCTCCTGGTGGCCTATCCTTGCTGCCATTTTAAACAAGAGAATTCAGTGTGTGACAAACCCCTGAGAAAGTCGTATACTCTCCATGTAATTGGCAAAGGTGAACATTTTTATGAGTACTGAAATGGAAAAAGTATATTTCTTATTGTTACATAGCTTCCTGAAACCTTTGTTAGTTTGTGTTCGTGTTACAAGGGAGACAATATTTAAGGGTTAAAAGTTTTAAGATGGATCAAAATGAGAATTAATTTTGTGTTGAATCTTTCCATAGGGTGCTCCTGGACCTAAGGGAGAAAGGGGAGAGCGGGTAAGTGTGCTCACTTGTTAGCTGCCATATTTTTTCCGTTCTGGCCTTGTATTTTGTAAAATGCTTTCTGCGATGATTTATTGTTCTCTGTGTTTACAGGCACAATAGTTTTCTCCTGTGCAATCAGGCAAACTTCCTTCTATTCCACTCACTGCCTTATATATAGTTATATAATATTTTGAAGGTGAGAAATATGTGGCATTAAGCATGTTCCAAAATCTCTCACTAGGGTTATCTTCTCAGACCTCTGTTTGCTGGCTAAAAACAGCAATGGCAACCAGGGAAATCCCTAAACTTCTTAGGCTTTTTTTCTCATCTGCAAGGATATAATCTCTCAGGGGTAATAAATGTTTTTCATTGCACAGAGCATTTTCAAGACAGAAATGATGTAAAACTGTATTACACTGCTGCTTTTGTTATCCAGGGTGATCTCCAGTCCCAAGCAATGGTGCGTGCTGTTGCTCGTCAAGTGTGTGAACAACTTATCCAGGGTAAGTACACTGATAGTTCATGTGCTCCTATCTCTGGGATACATCTCTTCCTGCCACAATTGCTTATAAATATGATGCTTTTCAGAGCGTTCATGGGGATCTGTCCATTTTAGGCTAGGCTGTCAGTATTTATAGTCCAATTAGATTTATGTTAAGCTGAATTTGTGTCCAACTACAGCTCATTAACATCAGATATCTAAAAAAAGACCTTGAATTGTCTCCAAGTTATTAGAGTATACAGAAGCTTTTGTGGTAACAATTCTAAAATTTTACAGACAAAATACCAAAAATCCCATCAAAGCAAGGAAATGAGATTCTAGACAATAGTTCTTCGTCTTTTCTATATATTCCCTAAACCACAGTTTCTCCATCAACAACACACAACTTCACATTATTGAAGTTCCCCAGCACGACAGGCCACAGCCTTGAGGACCTGCCAGTGCTCTTTTCAAATTTCACCGAACCAGATTCTCCACTGCAAATTGAAAACGATGACATTTTTCTCTTGACAGGTCATATGGCCAGATATAACTCAATCCTGAACCAGATTCCAAGCCAGTCTGTCTCAACACGAACCATTGCAGGACCTCCTGGGGAACCAGGTCGGCCAGGGGCTCCAGGGCCCCAGGGTGAGCAAGGATCACCAGGCATGCAAGGGTTTCCAGGAACTCCTGGTCAACCAGGAAGACCAGGAGAAAGAGGTAGGCTTTGTGCTTCACGTATACAAAAATATACCTCTCTTTCCTGATACATTGTGGTGGCTTTTGTCTCCTGGATAAATGTTTTCTGAGGACAAAGTTTTCTCTCTAGCTGATTGTTGAGCTCAGTACAGACCATAACAAAAGCTCTTAGTCATGAAGGTAATGTGTGATTTGATAGGATCAGACAAGTTTAATGCTTTGTGTTGAATATTGGTGGTATCTAATTGTGCACGTCACATTTGCATTGTTGTAGGACTGTGCAATAAGCTGGAGGTTTGTAAGTGTAAGCAAAGGAGCTATTGGAGAAGGTCAGCTGCAAAACTGGTAGGTTTGTGTTGCAGAAAGATTGAGCTTTTCTGCTAAGCTTGGGACATGTCCATCAGAAGATTTCTGAGTTATGGTCGTTTGAAAGAAGCAAGTTTGTCAGAAGAGGGAAAAAATCATAGTTTATAAGAGGTATAAGGGGGATCAAGGACAGGAAATGGTGAGATCACAGAGAAATAATATAATGAACTGTTCACGTACAAGAATTTTCTATATTCTTACTTGTAGGCTCTGTCCCTTTCTCCTTTCCTCCTCCAGCGTCGTATAATAAAGAAACAAGTTCCATGTTTTGGTTTACTCTCTATGCAACCCTGGCAATCTTCGTAGCACAAACCTCACAGAGGTAGCACTGAGTCTGTGTTTGTAAAAGTGCTTTGAAGACCCTCACACAAGGAAGTGACCAAAAGCCCAAGAGACAAATGTGGTGTTCAAGAGCAATGAATTGGCGTTGCTGTTACAAAATCTGCCAACTGGAATTTTAAAAGCAAATTATTTTGGAGGCGTTTCAGTTCGGGAACTCAGTAGTTCTAGTTCTCAGTAGCCATGATGGCCAGCGTTAAAGCATTGATTTGAAGATAAAGTCTTTGCGTAGACCTGTGAGTTTTTGGCCCTTTCTTCTCCTCAAGACCATAATTCTAATTCTGTAAAAAAGAGGCAAGATTTTGGGTCCTGGCCTCTCAGTTGTGGTGCTGCCTGCTCCAGTTGAGAGAAGACATTGTCCAGAAAGAATTATGAAGGAGAGGGCAGAGGAAAGGATGAAAGAAAACTGGAAGAGGCAACAAGTTAGGAACTGTTTTCAAAAGTGGTGACCCAGAGAATGAATGCAGATCTCAGGGTAGTTGTTTCCATAGTCATACTCAGGTATTTTAAATGGCATCTCAGGCAGGAATTGTTTAAGCACACAACATATTTTACTGGAGAATGGAGGAACCAAAAGCACGGGCTATAAAAAGGGAAACCCATCCAGTATTTAGCGTGCAGTGTCCATTGTGTTTGTTGTGCCAAGCCCTAGATCTGCATGTTGTAGTGCTGTGAAGTCACAGAGTGATTAGATACAGTCATGTAAATGGAACATGGTGGGGGCTAACCTGCTGTGGGTAATATTCATCTTCAGGCATCAACATTGGCAAGAGAGTGAGTACTGAATGAGTAAAAGCATGTTAAAAAAAAAAAAAAGTATGAGGTGGTTATAACAAAATAATGCACTTCAATGTGGCTTTTATGTTCCTTTTACTGTCTCTATAGATAATTGATGTTAGAAGGGACTGATTTTGGCAGGTTGTGCTTGTGGGGAGTTTCATACTTGGTAGAGAGCAAGCTCTTATCGAGCATGCTTCGAGAAATATAATCAGTCAGCCAGAACTCTGCAGATTTCCCTGAAGTGTGATGCCAAAAACTGAGAGTCTTTTACTGTATTTATAGCTTAAAAGAAGATTGTTTTAAGAATGAAGAATCTATGTGTAAACTTAAATACAAGGTAATTAGCTAGCTCATTTGGAGTGAGGATGGTTTTTAGGACATTCACATAACTACAGCCTTGAACAGAACTTGGAAGGAGCTCATTCAGAACCTAGGGAAAAATAAAGATTAATTTATTAGTCTTGAGGATTTAATTTCTTCAGAAGCAACTGAAATTGTAGATTGATGCATGATGATATAATAGCAGTTTATTTAACAGAAAGATACATTTTGATTTGACATTTTCAGAGTCTTTTTCTAAGGGATTGCTCTAAGCTAACTCCAAACCACAGCAGCAAAAAGTAGAAATTATTTTTACCAGCTTCATGTTTGAGGAGATTGATTGGATTTTTCTTGCGCATTCCCAATTCTCGCTTCATTCTTAGTTACATATACAGTGAATTAACAAATAAAAATTGCTCTGCTTCTGGACGGAAGCTTTTTTAGCTCCCAGTGACTACAGAGAGGAGGGTAAATGGACTCGAAACCCATCACCCCCTGCTGTCTTCCGAAGCACTGTTTGCATTTTACTTTTTCTGCAAGTCCCGATTTACGGTCCTGTCATGAAGATGTCCAGCCAGCCGCTTGGAGTCTTTGGGAACAATGTGTTTCTTTTCACTGATGTCACCAGCTTTTGGCTCTATGTGAGGTTAATTTAATGTTAAGAGCAGTGCCAGATTAGCAACTCTGAGAAGTCAGCCTCCGTCCTTAATACAGAAAATGCACTGGAACAGTGACAGCAGTGTCAGCAGGGCACGCTAAAGAGTAATAGGCATTGGAAGGGAAAAAAGACCCAGTTGTTCATCTGGTAGGGTGTTGTTTGTATTTTCTCTGAGTTTGAGCTGTTGGAATTGCTGCAAGAACCTGTTACAGGCTCTGAACTGAACGGAAAGGTGTTACAGCAGGAAGACAAAACGTGGGGGGAGGCTCATCAGTTCCTCTCCCTCCCCTCTCCTGCCCACCACCCATCCAGTCCAGGCCCATGACAAGTGGGGACCTCAGAAGCAGCGCGTGGAGCTGCTTCAAAATTAGGCACTGAAGAGAGCTTTACTGGAAAATGTCAGCAGTGGAAGATCTCGAGAACAGTGAATGTCCCTGCTAATTTGCCCGGCCAATAGCTTCTTCCCCCTTGTTTACCTTGTCAGCCTGCCAGGCTTTAATCAGATTTTTTTGGAAGGAGACTTGGATCGAGAGAGTGGCTTCGAGTTCTGTTAGAAACCTCCACTTGAACTTCTAGGTCCAGGCTGTCCAATTCCTGAATGCGGTCTCTCACTAGGACTACACGGAGCTAGTCATTCCAAGAAGGACCACCTCGGCGAGGAAGAGAAGTCATTCTCTTGACAGATTCAGTTCGCAGAGTCTTTTGTGTTGACGTCAGTGAAAGGATCGGGATCACAGTAACATGTTTGTTACTCAGTTTTCTAATAACGTGAGCAGAAACATCTCTGGAAACCCCTATATGCTTGTTAGCAGTATTAACATCTTAGTGGTGGCCCAACAGACCATCAAACCAGTCATATAAAGATCAAGGAAGCCCCACTGTCATATGTGTTATGATATCTAATCCCAGATAAACTACTAGGACTTTGCCGTTTTACATATTTGCATAAACATAGGAGCTGGAAGAAAAATACATCCAAACTGATTATTCACAGCACTGATCTCTGTTATTTTAACTAGTTCGCAGCACTGGTTTCTATTTTTATTTCAGCTCATTCCAACAGCTTTTGTTTTGATTTTGTGTGCATGAACTGGGACTTAAATAGCTAGTGTCTGGCTTCTGAGTGCTCAGGAAGTAGTTCAGCTTCTGCAAAACAATATAAAAAGGCAAAGATTCAGTACAATTTCTTTCTACATGTTTGTTTTTTTTTTCAGGTATTTTTATAATACTTCAGTGGTTTTCTGAATAACATAAAATCCATAGTAAAGGTTACACTGATCCACTTCTAGCTTCCAAATGCTGTGAAAATGCGGTTGTTGTCCTGCCACTGGGTGGAATTTGGCCCTTATCACTTGTCCTGAAGCGATGCACAAAACTTAGGGCTACGCACTCCATCTCACTGTTACCAAAATACAACAAATACCCAGGCTCTCAAGTGGAATGTCAGTATGGTCAAGTACAGCTTCATCTGTGTTTGCTGCCTGGCTTTATAGGAAGGAGTTAGTTAAACGTGTTATCAAAAGCCCCATGTTTGTGGTTCTGATGGCAATGTTCTAAAGGAATTAAAAGAAAGTTTTGCCAGTAGAGTGAAATATTTTTATTTCCAATTTTATCTTCATCTAGATAAAAAAAATATAAATCATCTAGTGTTATAATGTATTGTGGTTACAACTGAGCATCTTTAAAAGAGGAGGATTTTAGGTCCCAGTTTAATTTTTCTCAGTTCCTGTATATGCACTTCTTCCCAAATGACAATATTCTCTTAAAGAACAATACCTTGGGTTTTTCTTTGTGGAGAAGCCATGCACATTTAATTTTCTTTGCTAGGAATGTGTTCATGATCTTGCTTTTAGTTTTTAATAACTGATGCTATCAGAGAGATCTTTAGCAGAGAGTTGGAAATAATTGATTTCAGTTGCTTGTGATCTCCGTGGGCTGAACCCAAGCCATTGCTTATTTTGGCTAGGGACGAGACATAAAAACAGTTAACTTGAAGGGGGAGAGACGGACGGTGTAGCTGAAGTATGTCCAGGCATGAACCTGTAAACAGTTACTAGGATTTGAAGCCACCCTAACCCAAATGTCAATTTTTGATGCATACCTTTTATCCCTACCAGGATTAACCACTGGAGTAACCAACACGGAGAGTGAGGTCGTTTCTGGGCGATGTAAAGAGAAATGTGTGAAGTCTGAATGTCGTTGAGAGGAGGGAGCTGCTAACCATGGCCATGTGAATCTGTTCACGCTTAGTAAAGCTCTTTGGTGGGAAGGCTGTTGGTGGAGCTCACAGAGTGCTTGATTTTAGCTCGTGTGAGGTTTGCCGTAGGACTAGGTTATTCTTGCTTCAGTGTTTATGTTCTCTTCCACTTGGGTACACTTTTCTGGAAAGCAGACTGAGAGAAACCTGAAGCAAACTTGTCTTTTGGCCTCCAGTGTGTTTGCTCTAGGAACTGGATATCCACGTGATTTCAAAGAAAGTTTGCCCCTTGCAAGAGCTTCATAGCGTGTCCCAGGGCAAGCGTTTTATTATTAGCCCAAGTAGATTTGTTCTGTTTTTATCGCTGCTTACAGGAATTTCTCCTGGGAACATCGTGTATGGCTGTGTGTAGTTGTGTGTGTAAAGAACAGCTGAGTGCATGGAAGGCAGCGATTTGAAAATATTGTGGCAATTGTTTTTGAGGTCACCATTTAATGTTATCATAATGTCAGATAAACAGTCACACTAAATATCTGTGTAGATCCCACATGGTTATCGTGGGCCAGTCTGGTTATGAACAAAGCAATCCACACACACACACACACACATGCTGTGCCTTTTGCAAACGGCCAGCGTTTCCTTACAGGGCACGTATTGAAAGGGACAATCTCGATGAATTCCTCTTGTTTAAAAAGCCTGCAGCAAAAGTAGAGAACTGCAGAGGAGACTCTCCACGTGTTTGAAGGGGCTAAGCAAATTTTAGATGTCTGGAAACTGCATTTGGAATGCAGGACAGGAGGTTTGCATGAGAAAGTCATCTTTAAAATGTGTGGTATTCACAGAAGATGTGTTTTTTTGGCAGGTTCCCCCTGTGCTATAAAAATGGATTAGAGCATCTCCCTGCCACCTAGGACTGCTTCCTGCCATGGGCTGTGCAGTGCAGTCATTCATCAAAGGTGCTGAACAGCACTGCAGCTTGAAACTGCAGTCTGTGCTCTAACTAAATGCTAGATTGCAAACAGGAGGCCTGTACTGGAGTGGGAGGCCACTCTCAGAGAACAGGAATCCCAAGAGTTACATCGCTAAGAATCCCAGAAGAAAAGATGTTGGCAAATTTCAGGATGCTTGAGTAATTCAAACACTCAAGACTCCTTCACTTTCACTTAAGTTTTAGTAATCTTGCGGTTTGGCCAGAGCTTTCTCATTATCTGCCTGTAAAAAGCCAGGTGGGAACTGATTTAGTTGTAAAAGAAAGCAGTTGTGTACAAACAAGATGGAAAATTGGAAGATGAGATGTGAGGGATGCTTGAGAGAAGGGAGGGGGGTTCCTCTCCAGCTTTGCTCTCATGACCGGATGGTTAGAGCACCGTTTCAGGAGATAGGAGGCTGTATTCTCCCTGACACAGAGTCCCTCCCCAGCTTTCCTGTAGCTGCCTTTAGGTACTGGCAGGCCGCTGTAAGGTCTGCCCAGAGCCTTCTCCACGCTGAACAACCCCTGCTCCCACAGCCTGTCTTTATAGGAGAGGTGCTCCAGCCCTCTGGTTATCCTCATGGCCCTCCTCTGGTCTTGTTCTAACAGGTCCATGTCCTTGTGCCGAGGGCCCCAGTGCTCCATGTGGCCACACGCTCAACAGCAGACCCAGAACTCACCAGAGGATCCTGAATTCCCTCTCTGCTGTGATTTCTGATTGTCCAGTCCCCGGGGGTGCTGCATGGGGTCTTGGTGCTTCTCAAGTTTTCAGCTGGGGAAGAGATTGCAGGAAACAGGGGTTTCCCTGCCTCCAGGGAGCTCCTTTTCCAGGGGCCACATGGGGACCCACTCCCCCTTTGCTTACACCTCCATCGAAAGCCCAACAACCAACGTGAGACAAACACGCACCCACTGGATTGCTTTCCCATACACCCTTATTTTACAAACTCAAGGAGAGCGATGCATTGTCAGTGCTGGGTTTAATTGCAAAATCTTTCACCGTTAAAGCTTGTTCCTATTTGCATCCATCAGAAATTGGCTTAGAAAGTAAAAAAAAAATCTTCAGTGGCTCCTTGTAAAAACGAGAGTCTGGACACAGTCACCTGGGAGGTGCCTCGTAGGTGTTTTTCCTTCGATGCAGCACTTACCTGAGCAGAAGGGACGGCAGCAGGCCAGTCAGCTGAAATCGGAGAGCGTGCCTCAGCGAGGCTAGCAGCACTTCTTTCTGTCTACTCTGTTTTCACGAAGGTGCTCTGTGCTGGCTTTCATTCTGAAAGCGTGGAAGCAGTGAGAGCAATTACCAGCGTTGGGAGGTCTGGAAAATGGGGGGACGGTCCCACAACCAGCCCGGGTTTTGTGTCTCTGAACCATCCAAATCAAACACAGACTTTATGAGAGTTTCCAAGTCGCCGGTGGAAACTCAGGGTCTGGAATTTGTAGTTTTGACACCTACTTCAGTTCGACACCGCTCATTGTGATTGCTGCATGCAGAAGTGTTTTTATAGGATGCCGTAGTGGTAGAGGAGCAGGAGATGGAAAGCTGGAAGGATGTCGTGCTGTTTCTGGATTCCTAGACCTGTGGTCTTCACGGATCAGCCCCAATGATAGAAATTCAGGGCCATGAGCAAGTGCAGGAACACAACCGTATGGCAGCGTGTGTTGGAAAATAAGGTTTTGTGACTGTGAAGCTCTTAGACGGGGCTTCAGCTGGGGGATGAGTTCTGGCTGTGGTGAGACTTTTCTTGCATTTCAGCAGCTTAAGGCCTTCTGATGATAACTTTCAGTTTTCTTCTGGAACCATCTTGTGATGAACCACTGGTTGGTGGGTGAACGCTTGAAGGAAAATTGGCTGCAGTGTTAAAAATCTGATTTTTCTGGATCCCACAGTTTACAGACAGCTTTGTGAGGCTCGGACAGTTCTTCTGACTTACTATAGTTGGACCTTGGCATAGTCCAGAAGCAGCCTTCCAGCAGGAAGCGCTGGTCTGTGCCCTGGTAAACCACCCTGATGAATCCACCCTGGCAGCAGGAATGGTTAAGACCCCAGGGACACCGTGATTCCCTTGAGAGGCTATCGGAGAAGGGAGGAAAAAGGAACCTAATAGTTCTCTACTTCACCTTCTTCCTCCTCTCTCATCTGTTTTTAAGTGAAAAGTAATGTATGGAACCATAGCCCCAGTTAAATCCTAACCACTGCACGGCGCTGTGCGGGATGTGGCTCTGATGAGTGCCATTTCCTTAGGTTTACCAGGCGAGAAGGGAGAAAAAGGCAACCCGGGTGTTGGAACTCAAGGACCCCGAGGCCCACCAGGATCTACAGGTAAGGTCGTTACGGCTGGGGCAGCTGGGTTACACTGCTCTCACCCCTTTGCAAGGCACCTAGGAATTTTGTGGCTGTGTCCTCCACTTTTAGGGCTCGTGCAGCGAAGAAGGTGGCATTTAGGCACCCCGCTGTTGTAAGGCTCTTACTGTGATGCACAATGGTGTCATCAGTCACACAAGAATTTTCCTTTTCCCCGTGATATATTGCTTCTCCAAACCCCTCCTTTTTAATGTTTTAAGTATTTTTTTTTCAGAGAGAGTGTCTGGTAGGTAAAAATTAATCTGGATTGATTGCGTTTGTTTCCTCATTGACCCAAGGCCATACCTAACTGTAACCTGAGAGGGAAATGTACGTGAATTCAGCACATTAATCAAAGGGATTTAGATTTAGCTCCTGAAAAAACAGACCGATACTCAAATCCTGTTGAAAGAAGCATAAAATTGCACTGACTTTGTCAGGATATTCTTTCATTAGCGGATTGCTATCAAGGCACAGCACTAGTGGGTGGACAGGAGAGCCATGCTGGCATCCAGGGCTGTCCTCCCCCATGAAGCCGCCTTCCCAAACGTCTGGCACTTGGTGAAACGTGCTCAGTAGAAACTAGTATAAATTTCTGGCTAGAAGCTGCCTCTGGCACGGAAGACAAAGCACCAGCCAGCGCGGCGGCTTCTCAGGAACAGGGAAGAGGCTGGAGCCTTTCCCTCGGCGTGCCTGGGGGAGCTGGAGCAGGGAGCTGCAGCCCCCGCGCTCAGGCTGCCTCCTGGATGTAGCCGCAGTGCTCTCGGTGCTGTCTCCTCCTAGCACCAGGCCTGCGGCGCTGCCAAGGCAGCCTGGACCCGCTGCTGTGACGAGATGCCAGTCACGCGTTTATCTCCCCGTTTCATGCAGGGCCTCCAGGAGAAAGCCGAACTGGCAGCCCAGGACCCCCCGGCTCTCCAGGCCCGCGGGGTCCCGCCGGCCACACGGGGCCCCCCGGCTCGCAGGGCCCCTCCGGCCCCCCGGGGTACTGCGACCCTTCCTCCTGCGCGGGGTACGGCATGGGAGGTGAGTAGGCTGCGGTCGGAGCCGCCCGGTTTCAGAGGTGGGGTGGCGAGGAAAAGGACCGTGTCCTTCTAACAGCCAAAGTAAGCTGGAGGCTACTGGCAAAATGCGGCTGGCTCCCTACACGCACGCATGTCCAACACCGCTGCTCTTTGTGGGGCCACGCAGCCAGCAGAGTCCACCATCTGATTCAGGCCTGTGAAACGGATGAAGCATACTGGGTTTTTTGTCCTGTACCTCTTTGTGTTAGTCCACGAGCCTGCTCCACCTCAACTGAACGCTCTGTGTGTTGAGTCCCCCCTCTCCTCATGTTCGTGACGGCGGAGCTGAACATTTGTAGTTTTTACAACGTGTCGCTCCACTTCCTCTTCATGGCATGACAGCATGAACGTTACTAAACCTGTAATAGTGTAACCTGAAACAGGGGTGCACGTGTCCGTGATTAACAAGTGAAACGATCTGGAGAAAGTGGTTCTTTCTAAGTCTTCTGTATATCTTACTTTCCTTTTCATTAGAGCACGGAAAGGCCATGGGAGGAAGTTAACACAATTACCAAAAGTGGTGTTGCCCAACCTAAAATTGATATTTGTTTTAGCAAATTACTAGTTACTACAAATGTTATGCATAAGGCGTATTTGTTTGATGTTTACATTTTAATCTGCCCGTGAACTGATTCGTACGTTTTACTCACGTGAATGTTTTTGTTGTCGTCTCTTCCTCTCCTTTCCTCCTCGTTTCCCTTCCCTGTTGTTCATCTCCTGTTCGAAGGCCCCATCCCTTACAATGGCTACCAATCCAGAAGGTGAAAGACTCATTCTGGTTCAGTTCTCATTTGGCTGAAGGTCAGATATGGATGCTGAACTTCTCTGTGCTTTCCATCAACGATGTTGACTACCACTAATGAACTTACTGGCAGCTGTACATGCACCTAGCTTCCCTGCACTGCTAAAAGTTATTGCCTGACCCATTTTGCCCATTAATCATATATTCTAGCCCGTAATTGGAATAAGCTAAAGCAGGCAGATTGTGCAGTGTATAATAAGCACCGTATTACAACTGGACATGAGACAAATTTTGGTGGTGGTTTCCAACTAACTTGGCTGTCTGTTGGTGGGTTTCCAGTTGCTCCAGCTTATTAATTTTATTAAATGTTTTCACTGTTCCTTTATGTGAATAAAAATGTGTATTTAAAGATGATATCTATGCACACATGCGCTATATATATATATAAAATATGTGTCAATTTCCTAATGAATGCTTTAATTTTCTACTCCCCTTCTCCTGTGTTAACCATATGAATACTCTTGGTGGTGGTGGGTTAAGGTGGATACGGTGAGCCAACCGATCAAGACATCCCCGTAGTGCAGTTGCCACATAACTCCTACCAAATCTATGACCCCGAGGACCTTTATGATGGTGAGCAACAGCCGTATGTAGTTCACGGGTCCTACCCCCTCCCGTCCCCATACTCCCAGTCCTCCTATCCATCACCTCATCTTGCTCAACCAGAGTTTACTCCCGTTCGAGAAGAGATGGAAGCCGTTGAACTGAGATCCCCGGGAATTACTCGCTTCACACGGAAGATAGCCAAGAGAAGCGTCACGGCTCCAGTGCACAAAAGGGCAAATGGAAAAAAGCCCTCTCAATGAACTGTTCAGAAAGGGAAATGTTTTACGTGCATCTATATTTGGCCCTTTGTTCGGGTACCTGACCTGTCATGGAAGATGTTTACAAGCTCTTATGTTAAAGGAAAATAAATGTACGTGACCAGCTGACACACAAAATAAAGGTGATTATCTTGCATGCCAGAAACTTAGTATGTTAGTGGGTTGGTGCTAGATGATGGGGAAGGATCACTTGTAGATCTTTTTCCAGAGTACTGTTTGAGACAGTACTCAAACTGCATCTAAAAAATCTTCATCGGGTTAAGTTGCTGTACAGAACCATTCGGAAAGGTCCATGTTTGTTATCCAGCTGACTCTGTTCTCTTAGTTTTGGATGAGTTGCTTTTACTTGTGGAGTAACCCTACTAAATTCACCGAAGAACAATGCATAATCAGGTTTCCTTACACCCAGCTATTACCCCTTTGCAAAGCCTTATGTTTATGCAATTCTTTTTCACCCACATTATATAAATACACAAGAATGTTCTGTGGGAGTACACTGATAATTTATTGTGAACCTCTTTCATTTCTGTTTTGTATGCAAATAAAAGTGGCAAGCTTTTATATTGTTAATTCTACAATTGATTGATTTTTAACTTTGAACAGTTGTCTAGATCTTCAGGGGACAGAACCTAAAGAGAAGAAAATGCGTTTCCCTTTTTCAACAGCTGTGCAACAGTTTTACTTTAAAGGTTACAGGCACTTAGTTGAAACAATATTAGCCTTATTTTTAAAATATATGAAGTGGTGAGAATAAATATGAGATAATGATATTGTACCACCTGTGGAGCCAAGATTTTTGCATATTAACATGCCAAAGTCAAAAGACTGGCAGGAACAGTTGCAGAGGCAACTTGGACCATCTGATGAAGAGAAAAAGAAAAAACCAACCCAACTGCTTGATAACAAAGCAATTAATGTTAAAGCAGATAAATAAATCTTAAAGTGAGTCACTGAACAGCTTTGAACAACACTACTGAACCTAAGCAACGAAAAAGGTTTTAAAGTAGAAGCTCAAAAATGTAGATACGTCTAAAATGAAGTCACAGCTTTTGAGTACCTGTAATCCAGCCCTATAGTGATGTGGCCAGGCTGACCTGTGGCTCCCAGGACTGTGTTCCTGCTTGCCCCAATGAGCTTCAGGTTCAGCTCTGCTGGGAAAGATGTGTCAGTGTTTGCTTCTGGCCACTGCCAGAAGCTCTCTTAGCTTATGGGGAAAATGAGACAGCTGCATACCTTTACTGTGTTAATCTCAAGTTTGTCAGCCTCTTTAGTAACACAAAGCATTTATACCGGCACTGCTCCTAGCTGCATATATTCCAGGGAATGTCAAGCCAGATCCCTTTCTAACCTTTTTTTTTTTTTTTTTTCCCGTTAGTTTGCTCATCCCTATCTCTCACCACTTTCTTGCAGAAGGTGAAAAATGTACTGATAACTTGGTGATGACCCCCCCGTACAGAGTATTGAAGGAAATGGGTGTAGCTAAGGGTACACACGTGCGTTTACCAGAGCCTGTGCTGGCACCCAAGTACAAAACTTTCACTGCGTTATACACAGTGGTCAGAGCATATTGCATGGTTTTGATAAGCTCAAACTCTGTCTCGGTACAAATGTAAATATCTGTGTATGGATATAAAACAATCCAGTTCTTTTTTCCTGAGAAGTTTAATACTGCAAAGCAGGTGTTCCTTCCACTGCACTCCCCACAGCCACCACCCGTCTCACCTGGGCTGGGAATTGGGGCACCCCTAGCCCAGGGAGTGCCTGCTCCATGGACACTCACCCAACCAGGGCATGCGCAGCCAGCCTCCATCCCTGCCTACGGGCAGTACCTGCAGTGAATTAAGCAAATGAAGGGGCTGCCTGGGGGTTACCAGAACACTCTGTGTAGCATTGGGCCTCCGTTAACTGTGTATGCACTGGTAATAAAAAGTAACTGTTTGGTGGGTACTACCAAGATATAAAAATATTATTCAGGATTTGTATTATTTGCCAAAAAAAGTAAGAGGCGCGCTATACACAGTTCACTGGGTAGAAGTATTTCCCAGGATAAGCCCATTCGAATACTAAAGAAATACTTATATGAAAAATAGGTCATAAATAAAGCAGTGGTTTTCTTCCTACACAATCCTTGTACAAAACGGACATAGTAAACACAAATTTTCCTCACCAAACACTGTAAAATTTGGAAGATAACGTATCAGCATCTTCTACTACATAAGTAGTAGAAAAATAAGTGATTCATTTATTTACACAATGAATTGGTTCAAGAGTTACCTGCAGAAAAGCAACTGTGATCTGGTCACATCTGGAAGAGAGAAACTTGTTCTCGGTGTAGCAGACAGTGTCACCTGTGAATCCTTCAATCTCCTGACATTGTAAAGTGCTGCAACTTCTTTCCCTAGAGCAAACAGGTCTCGTGGAAGCACAGACTGATTTCCCGTCGGCTTTATCTCCAGTGCTGTAAGCACACCATATGGCACACCTTATCAAGAGATGGCCAGAGCTTCAGGATGAGAGATCATGGTCAGTGACCAATGCTTTTTTTTTTTGATCGTAAGGCAGAGACTAAGCTATAGGCATGCTGAGCAGAAAAACTCTTTCTAGAACACTGCTGAAGGTCAAGAAAAACTCCTACAGGACCTACAAAATGACACCACAAATCACACCACCCTCTCATTCCAAGATGCGTATTTTAATATATTTCTTACATCTAACAGGACTACAATGTGCACACACACATTTGGGTATGTGCTCTGTTTTATTTATTTATTTTTTTATTATTTTATTTTTCAATTTTGTTTGGCTCCAGAAGTTTATGCTCACCACCACTACAATATTTTCAGTGGGCATATTCACCTAAAAAGTTATGGGAAGCACAGGTCTGCACAGATGCACATTCAGCAAAATCTCACCATTCATTTCATACTACGTGTACACTCCAGGGTCTAGAAAAAGCTTTCAGAAAAACCATGCAAAATCACTTCTACAGCCATAATAGGTTAAACAGGTCAAATCAGTGGTTTTCGATCCATAATTCACTGTCCTTACTGGGTGAAAATCAAGTTTTTCAACTTCTAGAGTAAAAAACCTAATTTCAAGAAACAAGGTGGTTTTCCCTGAGATGTGAATATTAAAAAAAAAAAAAAATAGCAATTCTTTAACAACCGTAATAAAACCCATTTAATTAACAAATAACAGAACATACAACACAAAGTACAGGTGATATTAACAGTGTAATACCATTCTTAGCTGTTTCAAATACAATAATATTTATAAGCTTTCCTAGTAGATTTTGCCAGTACCTGACAAAAACATTCTGTATAGAAGAGATGTCTGAGATGCACAGATGTGTCTTTTTCCACGTTAGAAGATTTCTTTTTCAAGAAGGAGACACATTCCTGATAGCAATTCTTCTTCCTTTATTACTTCCTTCGAAAATCTTTAGGTCTGGAAAAAGAAAAGTGCTTTGTTAAGAAAATATATGGAAGCTACAGTGGGTTTGCTTTAGGGATGTAGTAATAGCCATATCTATTTTTATTTCCGTATTCTTGTGCTCGAAGTTTTAGTGCTGCTGAGTATTTTCCAGATTACATAAAAAAAAACGGAACAGATCAAGAAGTTTTTACTAATACCTCTATGAATGTACAGATGACATGGCTAGTGAGTTGGTCAAGGTGTTTCTTACAACCCACTGCTACTTCCCTATGCAAAGCAAAGAACAATTTTGGCTGAATGCAGCCTCAAAATAACTTTAAACATTTCTACTAATTTGTCTCCACTTAAATATGTATATATATAAAGTATATATATAATGCATATACTATATACATCTATTATACATATGTAATCTTTGCACAAGATTTCGAGTTTTAAGGTAACAGCCCGACCACAACCCCAGCAGAATAATTAAAATTGATGACAAATAAAAATCTACTTTGGATTTTAAAGATTCTGCAATCCTTCCTTCTTAAATAAAAAATGTGGAAAACATCCGAGCAACAGACTAGACCGCTCCTTGTAATCCTCTGCAATTTCCTCTCCAAGTGTGTGTCCCCCACTCTGCCTGCCATACATCCCCTAGCCGTAGAAACCACATTGTGCCTACAAGGCATGGGATCAGGCCAGGTTAGTATTTTATGTAAGAATACTGAGTTTTGGGGCAGGCTGGGAGTCCCTACCCCTCACAGATCCTGGAGAAAAGCTGGGGCTCTGCTCTAACTCTGTAGCTTCCAACAGAGACCGGTGCAGGCTGATGGCCTGTGACGTGCCCTGGATGCGCTCCGCGGGTGCACAGCACCAAGGAGCTGCTCGTCGCAGCGCACACACAGCCTGCAGCGATACAAACTGCTGTAAGACGGCAGCCGTGTGCTCTCGGCTCTTCGGATCGCTTCTCTCGGACACAAATTAAAAAAGGCAGATATGAACGGTGCCTTGCTGGAGCTATAAGAGATGCAATAGCAAGCTCTGTAGCCATGTAATGGGATACTGCATTGGTGGCTTTTCTGTGAAGTTGAATGAAAACAAAGTCTGGACTGCAGGAGAAACTGCCATCTGCATCAGGGATCCAAACTAACTTGACACTGGTAATAAATTTTATTACTAATTTTGTTGATCGATGCAAATTAAAACCAGATAGCAATGGAATTTGGGAGCTCCTTCTGGAGACAGAGTTCAGACTGCCACAGAGAAGCCATACAAAAATCTCCTAATACTTAGTGAGTCATTAAAATCCTGCACTGCAGATGTAGTATTCTTCAAACAATGGAATGATAGAATATCCCGAGTTGGAAGGAACCTACAGGGATCATCGAATCCAGCTCCTGACTCCACACAGGACTACCTAAGAAATTAACCCACATGTCTGAGAGCATTGTCCAAATTCTTTGTGAACTCCAGCAGGCTCGGTGCTGTGACCACTGCCCTGGGGAGCCTGTCCCAGTGCCCGACCACCTCTGGGTGCAGACCCTTTCCCTAACCCCCAGCCTGACCCTCCCCTGTCCCAGCTCCATGCCATGCCCTCGGGTCCTGGCGCTGTCGCAGAGCTCAGCGCCTGCCCCTCCGCTCCCCTCGTGAGGGAGCTGCAGGCCGCCATGAGGCCTCCCCTCGGCCTCCTGCATTCCAGTACCCTCTGCTGCTCCTCACAGGCCATTCCCTCTTGTCCTTTCACCATCTTTGGTGTCCTCCTTTGGAGGCATTCTAGTATTTTTTTTTATCCTTCTGTGTAAGACCTGTGGAGCCCCAAAATACACATGCTACGATACTACACATTCACAGGCCGCAACAACACCAAGCATAGAGGGACAAGCACTCCTGTCAGCTGGCTAGCAGTGCTGTGTTTAACGCCCCTCACAGAACCATTCAGGTTGGAGAGGGCCTTCAACACCATCAAGTCCAACCATCGCCCAACCTATGAGTCCACCACTAAACATGTCCCGATGTCTCTCAGGTTCCTCCAGAGACGACAACTCCACAATCTCCCCAGGCAGCCCGCTGCAATGCTTGGCCACCCTCTCCACTAAGAAATTCTTCCCAATATCCGATCAAAACCCCTCCCACTATTTCAAGTGCCT